GAATAGTCTGAGACACAAGAAGGAATGTACACCCAAAAAGCTTGTGAATATGTATAAATCTAAATGAGCACTGACTGTATAACACAAAATAGTAATGTCATATGGGTTTAGAAATCTGTAGAATGAAAATCAATTTCAAGAATAAATGGAGAGGAGACAAATAGAGCTATAGCATTTCTGATATTCTAGTATTGCCCAGAGGAAAGAAAACCTGTCTAAGTTTATTTTCAAGAAAACGATGAACTACTACATATTTTTAAAAGGCAATTATTCACATTGACAGATATCAAAAGGAAATTTCTTACACAGAGAAAACAAAAATAAACCACATGATGGGTTGACAAGGACTTGACAATGAGCAAAATGTAGTCAACAGCCAACCAGTTTACACTTTGTGGTCTAGCTTCTATGAGAAGGTCCATTGGGTGCTATCAGGGAGAATTCATATTTCCCCATCAAGTAACAAAAGATTAGAGGAGGGACAAATAAATCATGTAAGAAAGAAGCTTTTACTTAAATGCCCAAGTTAGTTTCTTTTTCCCTGAAAACTGGGAAGGCAGGATTGAAATAGCTGTATTTAGTGTTCTGTCGCAGGGCCCAAAGGTAGGTCTGACAAGAGTAACTTCACTCAGAGAGATTAGTCATGCACCCTGTTACAAAGATGTCAGAGGGGAAATGAGGGAAATCAGGCTATATTCCCCTGGTGGAGGGAAAAAAAAAAAGAGCCAGGGTCATGAAATGCTCTTTGGCTATAAATGAAAATGCCTTAAAACTTCCTGGCATTCTCTCTTGCTAATGAGCTAAATTAAAACAGATAACCCGTGTTTTAAGAAGCATCAAAGACAAATTAAATGTCAGAGGAAAAGTAAATTACATATTTATCGACTGTTTTATGAGGTTATGCAGACTGTTCATTAAAAAGTCCCCTCAAAAGATGATTCTTCTTGTAACCAGGGCCTGTAGCTGCAAAGCAATCAATTTATAATGGAATATTCACAGCAGATTCAGGGCAACTCCTGATTAACGATGTTTCACCACGTTAGGATAAATCTCTTTGAAATGTAAAGAAAAAAGGCAGAATGTCCTTTTTATAATGAATCAACTCAGAGTCTAGCACAACCACAAAAAGTGTGGTTTCTTTCCACTGGCAGTTGGGTTCTTGAGTTGTTCCTACCACCTTTCATACACATAAACCCTTTACTACTGATTTTGGCAAACCTAGGTATGGAAATCCCAAGGAAACCCATTATGTCACTGAGTTGAAAGACTGTATCCATCTTTAGAACTCTGCAGCTATAGATTTCATAAGAAGACGCACCTTGAACAAAACTGAAAATAGCATACACTCCAGGACTGAATCCAATATTTCACTGCTAGGGAATAGGCAGCTGAACATCTCTCCGTAATTTAGAACTCTACTGAAAAAGAGCTGAGTATTCTCTTTTAAGAGAATTTAGAACTTAATACATTTCAGTGGGACTTTATGGACAGGAATGCACAATGCAATTTTATGTCAAATTGGGGGCCAAAATATGTATCTCTTGTATAATTTACCTCTAGTGATCATCACCTTCCATTTTCCACAATGTCCTCAAAATGTATAGGGTGTCCCAAAATTCATGCAAGAAGTAATTTTGATAGAAAACACAGGTTTATAATTAAAAATTGTAAATTTTTTATTGATTCATAAAGTATACAGTATAGGGTTATGTATGGAATAGCACATCGGGTAAATGGCCTCCATGGCTTTGCTGGCACATATGCAAAGCCGTGGTCTTCATTGGTCTTCATTGTCCCTGCTCCTGGGCCATAATTGGTACTTGGTAATGCTTATCAAATTGAAGGGATTGAAATCAAAGGGCAACAGATATTAGAATCTGATTCAATAAACCAAGTAAAATTAGGCTTTTATTTTTGCTGTTGTTGTTAATGCTCACGCAAAATTCAAATCTTGCGTGAATTTTGGGACACCCTATAAATACAGAAAAAATAGACTCGAGTCTCAGTTTTTAATGGGAAATAAAATATTATACATATGACAAAGTCCTGGTGCATGTCCCAAAATGGAACATTCTAAAATAAACTTTCACATTGTGGCTGGCCAAATTTGGTCTCCCACCGAATAGGGACCAGAAGGACAGAAGTTCTTGGTCCACATGGAAATGAAATGGTTTTGATTGAAGAGCACCATTCTATTACAGGATGATTAAAATGTTGGGAGCTTGAGTTGATCTTTCCAGATCATAAGTGCATGGTTGAGTGAAATGTTAGAAAGTTACACTTCGAATTAATCTTCATATGGATCTTGCTCTAAATCAAGCCACATTCCTTGCCACTATAAAACTGTTATTTTTCTGCATTGGCTTTTCAAATTTTTGTTGTTAAACATTTTTTTATATTTGTTTTTTTTTACTTTTAAAGGAGTGGTTTGGTTACCAAAGGCTTGGGAATTTATACAGATTGTGATTGGGGTCCAGGCAAGCTCAGAAAGTAATAGGATAAATTAGGAATGTAAAAAGTGCATCTTCCCTGTTCAGGTGGAAGTTAGGAACATAGAACACATTGTTCCATTAGTTAAATAAGTGGATGATGAAGAAGTAAGTTCATAATATTTGACAATATGGTGAAAGAAACTGACAAATGGGAAGAAATATGATGCCATGTAGCAAAATATTAGCCATTATTGTTTTCTAGTTAGGAAATTGCTTATGCCATCTGTAAAATATTTAAAGGAGGACTCGATTCCCCACAGCAACCTCTGGCAAAATTCAGCATGCTTTCCTCTTAATAAGAAGGTTGCAATTACCTTTAATATTACCTACTATAATATCAACTCAATTTCCTTGCACAACATTGAGTGATGGAACTATTCATACATTTTAAGATGTCAGAAAACCACTTGGCCTTCACATCTTCTTGACTGAATGGAACTGACTCAGTTGTAGATACAGTTGGTCAGGTTCATTTTCTTGAGTTGCTCCTTTTTCTTTCATGTTTCCCCTTTTGTTGATTTCCCTCATATCTATGTCAAGCTTTGGCAAGCCAATACTGAACGTGAAGAGGGATTATCTCAAAGTCAGTGCTATTTTATTTCTGGTCAACACCCAACAATTATAAGAGTGTGGCTGGCCACTATGCTAGCCTGGTCTTACATTTGCTGTCCTGTGCTTTGATCTTTCTCCACATGTCCTACACTTGACCTTATTGTTTTACTCCAGTATTAATTATTGCTCCTTCTTGTCACGGTCATTTCCCTTTATTAGCTATTGTGTCCTACAATATTAACAGTCATCATTCTTATTTTATTATCAAAGTCATGGTTCCAAAGCACAACATTTTTAAGCCCTGAAGAGCACCTCTCAATAAATGCTTTAGTTTGACATGGAACCAACAATCGTCAAGGGCAACCTTCAAACCTAGACACAATAAGATGGTCATAAGAACAATTTCCTGGATGGAAAGCAAAGAGAAATCATATTGGTCCCTATTTACAGTAAAACAACAACAACAATAGAACACTAAAAATTCATAGAAACACTTCAGATCTCTTTCCAAAGGGCCAAAAAAAGAAATTTTAAAATGGCTATAAATATGGTAGTAGTATACATTTTATCTATGAGTAAAGTTGTTGAAATTTTTGGACCAAAACCAAAACAAAGCAAAATAAAACTCTGTGGGAATAACAATATTTTCCAAGAAAGATTTTTTTAGAAATGCAAAAAGTGGCTAATGAGGTATCAACCATAAGTGAAGGGTATTATGTCAGTGTACAAAGTAATGATAAATATGAATTCAGATAGCATGGATTGAAAATGCATGTATTTGCATATATCACCTGGAATTGATCATTGTGAAGGTGTTTTTCTTAATTTTCTGTTGAACCTGGGTCTTTTGCTCCAAATATTTGAGCATTTTTTAAAGATTATTTCTAAATGAAAAGCATAGTGATTTTAAAAATTTATTCTACTTTACTAATGCATAATAAATGTGAAAGGGTGGTTAAGAATATTTAAATTATTGATTAATAAAAATCATAAAAATTAGCAGCATATCTCAGTAATTATTAATTCTTGGATTTTCATTACTGCTTGAGAATCTATATTGCCCAACCTAAAACTTTAGGAGTCACACATATTAAATCAATGTCATAGGGAATAAAATTATTTAGAATCAACCACAAGAAATCTATAAGAAGTAAATTTGTGAATGGACTATATAGTGAAACAAAACTAACATTTTTCAGCTTTGCAGATTTAAAAAGTACTTTTATGAAATACCAGTACCTTTTAGAGTAGACATTTTAAGCTGCAGATTGAAGAACAGAATAACTGAAAAGTACATTTTTCACAAAGAGAAAAATATTCCTTGATGAATCAAAACAGATGAATGTTCTAAAGCTGAGATACTTTTCCCTAAAATATTTGATTTATAAATATTCAGTTTGCTTTAAGTTAATATTCATGAAACATTGGTTTTGACCAAACAATAAGCACAGGTAATTTTAAAGTGGAGCACCAATAAACTGTTATTATAGGGAAAAAGATTTATATTTTTCTGGTTTATGAGAATATTTTGTTAGAAGAAAACCAGGATGCTATGGTACAGGAACCCTCTGCTGGACAGAGTCTGCCATTACAATATCAATTATTTAAAGCTGAAGAGACTTAGTTAATTCATTTCTCTTGATTCTATCTTGGCAGGGAAGAGGGCAGGGTCCTTTAAAAATACTTATGTCTCAGCCACACCCCAGACCAATTAAAAGCCAATCTCCAGAGCTGGGTTCCATTCATTTGCAGTTTTTAAACCTCACAAGGTGATGATAAAGACTTCTTGAATACTATCATAAAGATTTTTTTTACCATCATTGAAAAAGATACATACATTTCCCATGCGAGATGTGATCTGAGATTGTATGTAAGACACATGAGCTAGGGAGGTCTTATTCTAATGGAATGGAAAGAGAGTGAAATTATTGAGTGATGCTATTCAGTTCAGTTTACCTTGGGCTTTTCGTCCAGGATCTGCTGACGTATCTCCTTGTGTTTCTCTACGAGTTTTTCTTGCCGTTTACTTTGTGCCTCTTCTAACTATAAGAAAGTTACAAAGAAAGTCATTCTCACCTAAAAGTTCTAGTGACTGTTTTCAGAAAAATATTAAAAATTAAATGCATTGAATGACTTCATTCCCTAGTCATGAACTGCCCTTACAGGTGTAGGAGACCATTGGTAAGCGTTGAAGGTACACAGAATGAGGGTGGAGTGATCAACAGTTATACTATCCTTACATTTTCTTAATATTTGAAAATTTCCATAGTAACTTTTTTCAAAAATTTGAAAAAAAAATATAATGGCCTCTGGAGCTTGTCATCTTCTCTACCAGTGTTGGTAAGCGTTGAAGGTACACAGGAATGAGGGTGGAGTGATCAACAGTTATACTATTCTTACATTTTCTTAATATTTGAAAATATCCGTAGTAACATTTTTTAAAAATTTGAAAAAAATATATAATGGCCTCTGGAGCTTGTCATCTTCTCTACCAGGGTGACAACTAAGGATTCTTTGGGGGAATCTCCCATTTACAACATGTTTCAGGGCTCCTGACTTGGAAGTGATTCTTCACATCTGTCTTAACGCGAGCCTTTTGGTACACAGGTTTGCAATTAAACTTGCAGGGACATTGACCAGGGAGCCTGTGCTGTGAAGAGCGGTAAATAGATGCAACTAGGCTTGTTGTTTCCCTATGGAGGCTCACACTGTGCTTGTCAAACATTCACACATAGTTTGCAAAGGAGACAGGGATTAGCCCCGTTAAAAAGAAACAATGGGCTCAAAATGGAGTCACTTTTGCTTCGCCCCACCAAGAATGAATACTAACCTAACTGCAGTTTCAGCCTCTCCCAGTCTGTCTGAAACTTCAACCTTAGTGATGTCATCTGCCTGATAAAGCCCCCTGCCTTCCCCTGAGCAAAGGTGACCTTGCCTGTAATAACTTCCTCATCCCATCATCTCTCCGCCTATAAAACCTTCTTCTCTATACAGCTGCTCAGAGGAACTCTCTGTTTACTAGATGGGATACTGCCTGGTTCATGAACTGCTAGAACCAATTAGACCTTTAAATCTACGCGACTGAACTTTTGTTCTTTAACAACCAACATACCCTCTTGATGTACTGCACCACCTCCTGGATGTATGACCGGATCATCTCTGTCTTTTCCCTAAAAGAAAAGGACAAAGAAATCATTATATGAACACATCTGGCATCAGAAAACAGGAGAATCTTGGACTCCCCAATGAAAATTGACAGAACTCTCAACCTTCTTATTCCTGCTTCCAGGAAGGTACAATGCACCAACTCTGGACAAAGGTCAGGTCCCCCCAAGGGCAGACTTTGTTTTCATTAAATGCTGGGAAGACTGCCTGACATTATTAGAAGTGAGTATTCAACCTTTTCCTAAGGGACACTCTTTACTCAGCCTTTATCTTCAAGGTCCTTTTCTGAACTGCTCTTTGAGTGTCCGGTTGAAAACCTTACAGAGATCTTTGGAAAGGTTAATTAGAGGAGAAATTTCACAGATGGGTCTTCATGGTTAAGAATAAAATAATCCCCAGGTAAAAGGTGGGGAAGAAGGGTTCCTTCTCCTTACTCTTCCATCTGGCTTTTGTCTTTGGATTTAGCTTCTGTGATCTTCTCTTGTCTCTTTTTATCCATTTTCTTCTTTAATTCCTTCTTCTCTCTGAAGTCAAAATGGAAGTAAAAGGGAAAAAAGGCAAATGAAATGGCAGTTTGTATTGAATACATGTATATACACAAATTCATTATAATGAGAACGGAGGCTTACTTCTCACAGATTTCTTTGAGCTTCTTTAACTGATTGTTCTGACATTCTTCAGCAACATCCGTCAATTTTTGGATAAGCTGGGGAAAGAAAATGCCAGTTTGCTATATTATGTTACCATAAACAAAGCACCCTCTCCCTCAAACAATAGTATCTGTAGTTAAAAAAAATCTCTCATTGATATTTAACAAGTTAGAATTATCAAATATCTATGATAGGTAATGAGGACATAATTTAAAACCATCATATTACCTTGGTTTGAATACAAAATTCTTCTGATCTATTATGTTACAAACAAAGCACCCTCTCCCTCAAACAATAGTATCTGTAGTTAAAAAAAATCTCTCATTGATATTTAACAAGTTAGAATTATTATATATCTATGATAGGTAATGAGGACATAATTTAAAACCATCATATTACCTTGGTTTGAATACAAAATTCTTCTGATCTTTTTAATTAATATATATATATATATATACTAATAAAAGAG